GTAATGTCACTTGCCCGCTTCAACAACTGGTGCAGAACGACTTTGGCACCGCGCCAAACGCAGCACTGACACGCCCCACCGGTCCGCAATGATGAGGACTGTAACAAGAGAATCGTAATTCACCGCGCTGATGGGCGTCGCGTGCGACGTCGCGCCCGCAAATGACGATGGTTCCAGGTAGTAGATGGCGACAACAGGCAATTCAGAACCGAAAATAGTCATAAGTCTACGATGACGAGGTAGTTCGGTGCTTCAGTCGACTGGTTAACACGAGTAAAGAAAGTGCCGCGCCTATCGTCGCGCGCGGCGAGCGGCGAATTACGATTCTCTTGCCCGTCTCCCACGATTCAGTTACAGTATGACAATGAACTTGCATATTTTCCGTTGTGATAACAGCGATGATCTCTAGGGATCTGAGCATGTTCCTGATCATTTAACTTGCGCAGCTGCTTCATGTTGATGCCGGTAGTACACGTCGTCTTGAGCTTCTTACCAGTGACGGATATCTTCACCTTCCCGTGACTGCGTACACAGTAGTGCTGTCGCTCTTTCTCGAGAGCAAACCTTTCTCAAGGGCAAAATTATAGGGTCTTCAATGTTTTTCTGTGGGTCTTCCTCCTTCCATGTCACCCTGCGTGGAATAAGCTATGATGGTGCGTGCAGAAGCTCTTTTTGGCCCTCCTGTTTGTGTCTGCTGGATTACCTTTGGGGTACTGTTCCATGAGTTCATCTGTTTAGGACGTGAAGACCTTGTTACTCAGCCGGATACCATGTATTTTCATGCATGGTCAACAGGGCCATCAAACACTGCTGTCGGCTCTCACTGAACCTGGGAAGGAACGTACAAACGCTTTCGGCAGGATGGGGCTCACGTTTGGTTGGTTGATAGCAAAATTTTCAGAATTTTAATGTTTCTTATGATCTCTCCTTTTCAGGACTCGGATTTGTTTTCACTCCGATTTTTTCCTTTATTTCTACCAGTTTTCTCTCTATGCATGGTCCTATAATGGTTTCTGCAGCACTCTGTATAATTCTTTATATCTTGGTTCATGGAAAATCTGTCATCCCAAGAAGTTCTTATAAACGATAAGAATTTTTTTAGTGGAGGAAGTGCGAAACTGCTTTGAGATCGTTTTTCAGGACGATCGACAGCACGAGAGAGTTCGCAAGCATGAGCGTTTCCAATGTAGCTCGAATTCTGAATAAAACCCGGAGTTCTAAACGTAATGTTCAAGAAGAACGCTCCTATACTTCCAATGTTGCTGGTCTTCGCAATCATGCAGGTAAATGCTAATCCTATTGTACGTCAAGTAGAGAAACCAGAACGGTCCGAAAAGCCCTTGAAGTCAGCTGATGAGTTCAGATGGGCACTGACTTTTGTGTAGTATTCACTGGGATTCCTCGAGGGGACGAAAGATGTTTGATTAGAAATGGATCCCGTTAGTTATATTGGCTTTTCAATCTCCGAGAGGATATGTACCAAGAAAATTGTATATGTCGCGCTGTGGGGTGAGGTGTGCGCCGCTGCCCTGCGGACGATTGCCCTGCCAAGGTTGTTGAAGTTGATGCAAAAGGGGCAGAAAAGTTTCATATCGCCCATCGAGTCTTGCACCGCTTGAAGTCATAAGAAATTCGCTACTCCAGTCGGTAAACTGGTATGCTCGGACTCGCCTCATAGTTCCATACGCCGCGCGCTGCGGATGCGATAAGTTGCGATTGTCTTATCCGCCTCCCGACAGCCATGAAGTTTGGCTTGGTCTGGAGCACCAATTGGCACTTGAACGAAGCTGGGCTGCCTTGTGAAGGCTTGTGAAATCCTGTAATTCAGTTCGTGGCTCACTTAACCGCGTGGCAGCTTCATAAGAGTTTACTGGTCTTACAAAATTGAGGCGTGTTAATTAACATGAGTTAGCAAGAGGAACTTGCGAAAGCCAGACATAAGTGACTTGCTCCCTCCCCTCCTAAAGCCGAACAGCGTCAATATGACCCCCGCCCCGAGCCAAACGGCGCAGAGGGGTAATGTTGAAAGACGGCTTGCTTCATGAATGGGACCACGGAGTGGGTTACCAGCTGTAGTTGCCTCCAGCATGAGTTGAGCTAGAGAAGCGTTTGATAATATTGCTCAGAAATGGGAACGATACGCACGTTTCATTCGTCTGACTGTCCTGCTCCGAAAATAATTGACCGTGGAACCAAAAGGGCATCGCCCCACTGAGCGATGCCTGTAAAACGATGTTTCTGTTTTTTCAAGAAGTCTCTTTCAGCTTTATATGGTGGACCAATTCCAAGCAGACGTGCACACGGGTCAAGCGATTCAGATGATGACAGGTATGTAGATAAAACGAGTGTCAAGGTGCATTAAATGTTGCGCCGTGAAATTTTAAAATTTTTTTCTGTTTTTCTGCAACTATGGTTGTATAGGAATCTGAAGTGATTTACTACTTTACTGGCGCCACTTACCACGCGCACAACCCGGGGAACAAACCCTATATTGGTTTCCGACCAGTCCAGGATTGGTTGGAAGGCGACCTACAGTCTAGCCAGCTTAAGAATTCCAATCAGCCAAGCTTCCAATCTTTCTGCCTTGGGTTAATTGGTACCGGGAACATCTGAGAGAATGTAACACTGATGAGCGTGATGATTCTGAATACAAGCTGAGTGCACGGCGTATCCCAAAGAGTGCCAACGCCGATATATTTTCCTTCATTTCCACATAAGTCCATGTTAGGGTAAGGATCCATTCGTCCCTGCAGTGAGTCCAGTGTCTTTTCCTGCTCGAGAAAACAGCACACTCAATTTGAAGCACTTCGATGCACGCAAAAAAATTGACTGTTCAGGCGAATGGTCCAGGTGCTTACTTGACGTCCTGACTGAGCTTTCGACGTGTTACCTCTCGAATATGAGGGCATATCGGTAATAAGGGCGTTACGTCCTACTAGGCAAAACTAGGCAGTGGTTGTGCCATGCACAGCATAGAGTGAGCAAGAAATTGGGCTTTTCTACTAGTCCTGCTACTTACGAGTATAAAGGAATCATCATTTAATGTATGTTCTCTTGTTCAACATTATGCGCTGGGGATTGTGGCGCTTATCATTTCTTGAACAAAGTGCGACAATCCTGATATTTACTGCTGCAAAACCCCCATAATGTCCTTTTTGGTGAAATGTGAGAGCTTGGATCCTTATCTTTGCCTTATTCTGGAACATCTTTGTTCTTTTTCTCTAGAATTGTTCCAGTTCTATTTCAGGTGTATGCATCATGTTTAGCAACGGATTTGGTGTGATTTGGATGCGGAAGAAGTTTACTGAACAGACCCTTCTTTTCATAGGAATGATTTGCTTCGTAAGTTGTTTGGTCGTTCAAAGAATATTCCCGTCTATTTTGAGAGTAGCGTAAGTGTTATCTATGAAGAAACCAGTACTAGCAAGTAGTCGCTTTTTAATAGCGTCTGAAGTAGTGCATATCAGGATATATTGAGGGGTAGCAAGGGAAGAGATGAGGACGTGTTGTAATTTGTGGGGAGGGACGCACAAAGACAAATCATACACACTTCTGTGGATCCTGGTCTTTGCCATGGGGAGGGTGATTGGATCCGTAGCTGCAGTAGCTTGTCTCCTCCTCCTCCGCTCAAAAGTGCATGGCGCTTGAGGGTCGTGCTACCTGGGCGAAAACTCCGTACTCCAGTTCGCGCTGCCGCGCCGCCAGCCACACGCCTAACCATAACCGAGCGCTCTAATTCTCTACCCGTCTTACTTCTGATTGTTCTTTACGGATGGATGCGTGTTTCGCTGAGGGTTCTTGGTAGCGATTTGAGTGGTTCACATTGAGAATAGTGCGGGCGGAGTATGGAGATAGCGCCTCGGTGTCACTGACCTCCAGCTCCATTTTCGTGCACTCTCAAGCTGACAAAGTGGCACGCTACTGCAGTTGCTGACCCATTCACCTCGTACAGGACACGACATCCTCCAAGACGATGGTAGTTGGTCCTTAGAGATGAAACTGAAGGCTAATCTGCAGGCAAGCGAGCGAATTAACCGGAACTACCAGTTCTTTGTGCAACTGAGTCGTTTTAGAGTTGATTTTGAGGTGTATAGTTGAAGATTCAAAACTAATTCTCTTTATTTTCATGAGAGTTTCTTTTTTTATGTTCCTGCTGAACCGTGTTTCCCTTTGATGTAGACAAGCCGTGGGGCGTGTTGTTTGGAAGGGGCAGGATTTTTAAAATATAGTGAATTCTTGGAGGGCCTCTCTTTTACGATCATGAGCCATAGAACGGATATAGATTAACACAAGTGAATGTATAATACATTAACACAAGAATGCTGAGTTGTGGGCAAAAGTCGTGCCCCAGGCGGGAGTCGAACCCGCACCTCACGCTTTCCGGGCGAGTGCGCTATCCGTTACGCCACCAGGGCCGCTTTTACCCTCTCAGCTTATGCCGTAACCTTACAGCACTCACACGTTTAACTTGGTGACATTGACGTACATTAAGTTGTATATCCAATTAATTTGGCACTGATCCCTTTGCTTCGCTGGAATACAAGCGTGGTCCATGCAAACGATATTGGGAGGACGATGGATTGACTTAGAGCGCAAACAGGCCAGATTCTCCTCACTAATAATAGCACGCAGGGGCATCATTGTCGGAGCAAAGCCGCCCTGGCTGCCCTCTAGTACGCGCCTCGTCACACGCCCAGTCTGTTGCAGGGATCATGGCGATACCTTTTCATAAAGCCTTCGAAAACGCCATGTTTTGTTTCAGTCAGTCGCCTTCGGGCTCTTCTTCTTTTTCCACTGGCTCTGGATGATCGTGGTGGTAATGCCATTTATCGCCTTCGGTATGAGTCTAGTCGCAACTGTAGCTGATAGCCTACTTACAGCTCTTGTAGCCGAAAACGAACAGGTCAGTATTGCTTGTACAAATCACGACTTACGACTGATTCTGCTCGGTTCAGGGCTTGGTTCTTGGTGTCGCGACGTCGTTCAATTCACTACTACGAACGTTTGCCCCGACCATCTCCGGCTATATCCTCGATACTTTTGGCTTTTCCACATTCGCTCTTATTGGCTCTCTGTCAACGGCTGTTGGACATGCAGCTATATTTTTCTTTCCACTTCAAGAGAGTTTATTGCGGAAGCCAAAAGCTGAATAAGCAACACATCTTTTGTGCTTCTAATTGGATGTTTGTCTCTAAGAACTTACTACCTCTACTCGATGAGCTTTAACTGTCTAGTCATATGCTGTAGATAGATTGCAAATTCACTCATTTTTTCAAGGGCACCTTAGTTTGGTACAGAAGTGTCACAGCAATAGAAATATAGACGGATATAGACCCTTTACAATACGTCCCTCTTATCGGAGACATGGTTGTTGATGAAACTTTTCAGTGGGTATTTTAAAGTATAGGAACGTCATTACTATTGTTTCGCCAGTAAGGATAACAAATCTCACTTCAAAATTGTATATTACGACGAAGGTCTGTTGCGAATAATCGAGAAATCAAATATCAGTCTGTCAAGGAGATCGGACAGCACATCCGAATCAGCACCAAAAGTAGGAGAAAGACGCATTAGAAGTGATATCACCGTAATCGCACAAGGACCTAATTATTCGACGTGGCAATGTTGCAAGGTGGAGACAAGACAATCGTAAGATGCCACGCTAATGGGCGTGGCCAGCGACACCGCGGCCGGCAGACGAATTTTCCTGCCTGCCTGCTTGAGGATGAGGGTTAAAAGGACATTCGGAGTTGGCCATAACGAAGTTTTACCTGCTCTTGATGCTATGATTTTCGCTGCTATTGTCATGCATCTGACTCCCATACAGAGGTACTGGAAAGGTGTAACTCCCAGGTGAGGCTTCTTCATCTAGGCAGATGTGCTCATCCGCTTCAGAAAGGTCCGGGCGTATACTGTTTTGTTTGCTTATCAATTCACGACGTCGTAGGCGCAAAGTAATCCTTGTCACAGCACTTACCCACTTCCTCTGCACCTTGCCTCTGTATTCAAGGCTGCGCCCACGTTCATTTGATGTTCTCTCTCTCTCTCTCTCTCTCTCTCTCTCTGGATATCATAGCCCTCCCTGTGATGCAGTATGTACTAGTTTTGCATCTCAAAAAGGCGAGAGGATAGCGCCGTTCGCTAGTGAAGAGTCGGCCGCCCCGCCCACCTGGCCAGCATAGGGTTCC